TAATTTGTTACGACTACTTTCTTTTTTTTTTTTTTTTTTTTTTTTTTTTTTTTTTTACTCGTAGTCTAATTTCTTTTAACGTTACTTACTATACGTTCCTCTGAATCATAAGATAGTTAGATAGTTGCGATCGCGACTCGGTTTTTCCGGGAGGGGAGGGCGGGGGGGAGGGAGTGATATCGTCTCTCGTTTTACGCGCGAATATTTCGTTTCTTTATTTATTTAGAAACCCTCGAGCGAGAATAGGGAAAAACACACGCTAGCGGACTCGTTTCGCGATCTCCGGGGAAAACACGGGGAATTCCTACTGTGTAGGAACTTCGCGTTTCCCACGATCGGTTACAATTCCACCACCCTCTTGGCGACGACGAACGGAACAAATATTTTGTCGCGCCGGAAAGTTTAAAAGCGAGACGTCCGTGTACGTGATCGAGATCGAACAAATTCCGAGTATCGAGAAAAAGTCTGTTGTTGTGGTTTTTTAGCGGGAAAAAAATTATTTGATTTAATTGACGCGAAACGGAATTATTTTATTGTATAGTTTTTTTTTTTTTTTTCCGCTCAAGAAAACTCGCAAACAAAACGAAGCCCGCAAACAGATCGAGTCTGTCGCGAGGGGGGGTAATGATCTGTCTGTCGTATTCTTTGACATGGAGTTTGCCGGTCAACAGCTGATGGTGTGTGACTGAGTTGTGTTTCCACATTTATTTTAATCGCGATAATTGTCGCCGAAGAAGATCCCAATATACGGATCGAAGCGTTCGACGTCAAACGAAAAATTGAACAAATCGTCAAAACACCTCCGTTTGTATCGGGGCCCTCTTTTTATTTGAGACTTATTTTAATCCAAAACAACAGATCAATTCGCGATCGAATCTGAATCGAACGGTAAATATCGTTGCAGAGGTGACAAATTGCTTCGACAAAAATTCTCGAAGTTGTTCTAGCGCGAAAAGAGAATTGTTTTAATTCTTAATCGTCGCTAAACAAAAAAAAAAAAAAGAGGAATTTAATTATGTAAATTAAAATGGACCTTAAAAGCTGCGAGAGAGCCACCGGTGGTGGTGGTGGTGATGGTTGTAATATTGAACGAACAGCAATTTCAATAATTTCGCGCGACGTTTCGGTCATTTTATTTCTTTTGATCAATCCGCGCGATTCGGTCAAAAAATCATCATCATTTTTGTCTATTTTTCCGAGCAAACCGGCGCAAAGTCAACAATATAATAAAACCGTGCGCCGCGTGTAATATATTAACGAGAGAGTCTTGATTTATTCGCCTTAATGTCAAAATTCACATGTGAAAGCCAAACAAATAACTTGTGACGAGTGTGTCAACACGACGTGAATGTTTCACACGTCGCGATGAAACTCGTCGTTCGAATGGATAAATTATAACCGTTTCATCAAACATTAACTCATACTACGCGACGCGGATCTCGTACTACGGTTTTTTTTTTTTTAAGGTCCTCCGCTTCGATTCGGATCCCGGCAGCTTGTGTTGTTTCTTAGGGTAATTAATTAATTAAGGAGAGTCTCCTTTTTTTTGTGTGTGTGTGCTGCGGAAGAAAACTCGTTCGAGTTTTCGTCTCGTACGTATCTGTGTGCGTGTGTGTTCGGGATGTGTGTTCCTGCGTGTTTCTCTCTCGCGCAGAATTTATATATGCGCGACAATTCCACGCGTTTTCCGAGTAAAATACGAGAACCAGTATTCGAGTATACATACTTCTTTCCTATTAGGTAAGGTAAAAAGTGATTAAACGCGTATTCGGCCCGCGCGCGCGCGCGCGCACACGGGCAGGACAACGCGGGAGTTTGTTTTTTTTTTCTTTGTCGGGGCGAAAAAGACGATTACCGACGTCGACTGGACGACGGAGCGGTCCGATTCCGCGAAATCGAAGATACGAACGTAGTTTCCATTGATTTTCTCGCGACAGAGCGAGGAGGGGGAAGAGGAAGGGGGGAGGGGCAATTTAATACGACGCGACACGCGAGCGCACAAGGACGAAAAACAGGCGCGCGGATCCTCGGGACGCACACATGGTTGGAAACGCGCTTCTTCGGCGAGGGATGAGAGGAGGGAGAGGGAGAAAGGAGACAATCGCATGCGAGCGAGCGAGCTCTCCGCTCCTTGTCTCTTCCTTTTAAACGATTCGATGAGCACATTGTATATTTAGCAGCCACTTACTTTCCGTCGTTTCTCCTCTTGCAAGGGTCTTCTCCTCTTGCCCGCCCGAACCACCGGAGTCGCTCGAAATCGATCGATCTCTGAAATATTCATTCGCATTCCGTGGCGCGCTGAGGTCTGCACCGAAGGAATCGCGGAGGAAGGACAGGAAGAGGAAGATATCGATTAATCGACAACCGATACGGCGAGTGCAATTTTGGTCTCTTTCGCGAATCGCCGCGTATCGGGCAACGCCGATCTCTTCGCTGGTTGACACAACGTTTGATCGTCATCTTTCTTTTTTGTTTTTTTTGGGGGGAAAATTCGCGCCGTTATTTGCAATTTTAGATTTTACAGCGTTGACTGCGAGTCAAAAAAAACTCGTCTCGAGAACGCGCGAGAGAATTTAAAATTACACTCAATCAAGTTGAAATAGCGAAGGAAGATCAGGACGGGAGGGTTATTGGAGTTTCAAATGTTTCTCAGTTTAAAAAACAAAAACTTGATTCTTGAACATTTCAACATTTTATTTGCGGTTTGTTTCATTGAGCACAAAATTGTACATTAATTACAAAAAATTAATTACGTTGAAAAAATCTACGAGAAGTAAAAAAACAAGCTAGAAACGAGCGCACGAACAGGATCGCGTCGAGAACTTAAACGCGTCAATAAATCGTCGGAAAATTTCTGTAATTTCTCGGAAGTTTTTAAAAATTATGTGTTTATTTATTTATTTGTTTTTTTTTTCTAATTCGACACATTTTCGAGTTGCGTGTGCGACACTGTGTTGTTCGCTCGTCCTTGATAACTTCTTCGCGAGAAGCGACTTGATTCCGGAGCCTGTGATGATTACGAATTGTTTCGTGCCCGAACGAAGAGAGCGATTCTTATCGCGCTCGCGAGAGCGTATCTTATTTTCGAAGTCGACGCGAAGTCTACGTCTACCATCGGTGTGTGTTATTCGCGATGTCTGCAATTTCTGTGATAGCTCGCGCGAGAACGCGTCAAGATACTTCATTAGTACGCGTGCACGTTTTTGTCGTCGTCTCCTCTCTTTTCTCCTCTCTCTCATCTCTTTCTCTATCACATTCCATCGTTACGTTTTTTAGTCTCCTGACACGATTCGAGAGCAATTTTTTTTGTTTTTTTTTTTTGTTTTTATAACACGTGTGATCTAATTGCGATTCGTCGAGCGACGTGTTGAATGCGACGAACACACTCGGTCGATCGAGTGCCGGTGGAAATCGTTGAGGAAAACGATTTATTTTTCTTCGACGCGTATTGTAGACCGATACCGGGTTTCCTTGACTTAATTCCGATTCTTTTGGATTCTTTTTGTCCCGTCGAAACTCTCTTTAGAAATTTGAATTTGTTGAAAGTATGTGAAACTTTTTCTCGTCAAAAAACCAACGGGATGTAAGTAGAAAGAAGACGCCTAGAATTGTTAACAAAAATTGTTCTAATGTTATAAAATAAAATGGGTCATACGGTTCGCTTCGAGGATGCCAAGAAAAAACACACACGGGTTGAATCTTAGAAAAGTGCGGAAAGGCGTAAAATTGGGACGGAACGTTTTGTCTTCTCGTTCAAAGGAAGGAACTTTTATTTTGTCGCGCGAGATAAACAAATCGTCGACTTGGCGATTCGAACGGGAGCTCGATTGATTTTTCACACGTGCGTAACGTCCGAAATGTCGCGTGAACAGAAGTCAAGAGTTTGTTTCGAGAGAGAAGGACAAGAGTTTTATTCCAAACACACACCCCGAGAGAAAGAGCGCCGCGAGGCTTTAATTAGAATATTCGTCCGACAAATCGGTGTTTCTCTGAAAAAAAAAAAAAGAAAAAAAATGGGAGATTTTAATTAATATTTACGAGCGACGAAATACATCCCGTTAACGATCGCCGGTCGCGGCATCGAAATGAAAGTTAGCCGCCGCGAATTCTGAACTGCGCGCCTGATTAGAGCTGGCGTTTGGCAAATGGATCATAAAGTTTCCAAATACCGTATCAAAAATGCTGTCAGCTGGTTGTAAATTCCGGAATACGATTAATTAAATCCGCGCGCGCGACGAGCGCGACGTTACACAAACGTGGATTGGTTCTCGTAAGCGCCGCGCGCGTTCGTTTCGTCCGCGATTTATTAAAACAATGATATCGCGCGCGAATTAAAACATACAACTCTCTCTCTCTCTCTCTCTTACTCTCGCTACAAACTCGCTAAATTCTACGACTCGCGCGCGCGCGAGCACTAAAACACTTGTTTCGAGTCTAAGCCAATCAGAATAGTCGCGCGTGCAACTGTGATAAATAAAATAATAATCAGAACAACAAAAATCGGAAGATCCAAATTCTCTGAAAAAAAGTGTGTGATGAAATTTTTTATTTCGGCGCGGCAAACGTCATAAAAATTGAAGAACGAGTCAATGCGTCGCATTTGTTGTTGCTCATAAACGAACTCGTTTGTCGGTTCGAAGAAGATCGATTGTTTGTGATTTCTCTGTTTTTTTTACTTTCCTTTGTCGATGCTCATCGGCAACGAGTGTCGGTGACAATATCGGTTCGCCGGTAATGTTGTCGTCAATTTGCATGTAATTACAACGAGGATTCAATATTGCAGAAGAAAGGATGACGATTAAAAAAAAAAAAAAAAAAAAAAAACGGTAGCGTGATTCACTCCGGCCGCTTTTGAAATTCATCATATCATCGCGCGCGCACAACAGCTCGGCGGTCGCGATCTTTGCGCGTTCGAACGCGCTCTCGTTCGCGTTAATTTTCCTCAAATGATTACGCAAAATCACGCACTTTTTTATCAACGCGATCGTGGTAAACAACCGAGAATAGTAGATTTTTCCGTCGACTTATCGTTGATATTTCTTTTTTTTGCACCGCGCGCGTGTGTCATCCGCCGATCGGATCAAAACACCAACATCATCACTCGATATCAATCGGTGGAGATTTCCCACACGGATGTGATCTTTTTTTTTTTTTTTTTTATCTCTAATTCCGAAGCGTTTTTTTTTGCGTGCATTCCAAAAGCGAACCGCGTGAGTTTATTTTTACTTGATTTTAAAGTATTTAAAAAATTTTGCAAAACTTCTGACATTCTCCAAATTGTCACTGATTATTTATTTTAGATTGCAAAAATAACTGCGGTGTTTTTTATTCAAACAAAATATTTACAAACATTTATTAAACAAATAAATAAAATTTCCTACATATTAAATTTATATCAAATGTTATTCGTATCTTGTTGTTTTTATTTAACGAAAGAAAAAACCAGGGTTTGTTTTTTTTACGTAATTTATCTTTTCAAGAGAGTTTCAAAAGGCGCTGGACAAGAAAGACTTGAAAGATTCGGAATTAATTGGAAGAGTTAATTGGAAGAATGGCGAGATGCGCAACGCGCGCGCACAGGATTACATAATCGGGATTACATCCTGTCACGCGTTATCGCCTCGTTCGCGAAAGTGCGTGTGTCGCTCGCGCACACGTTCACGACGAGAATAAATCG